TTTTACTTATTGTTTATTAATTATTAGATATAAATTTTAACTAATAACTTTTTAAAGTTAAAAGTGAAATTAACCAAGATTTAGTGGACATTTTTTTTTTTTTAAATGCATATAAATGCATATTATAATGCATATTTTAATGATTTTAGAAGCATATTTGCATGAATATTTGTGTATTTTTTAGAGCTATAAGTCCCCAAGCCTASTAATGAAAAAATCATCTAATCAATTGGCCTGAACAATTTTCTACAACTAGTAAAGGACACCAAGTAATCAAATAAAACTGTTCAAATTTAGTAAGTTTCCACACGGTGCCGATTTCTAATAATTTATAATATCTACATATATAATAATAATAAATCTAATTTACATTTGATTACTGTTCATTGTATGGAGCAATCTCCGTAGTGGATAGAAACGATTTCTGATGATTGATGCTTTTCATATTTTCAKAGGAATTATGTCCCATTTGTTTTTTTTCAATCAAAATAGACCTATATGTTAAGTCTGTATCATGTTGACTGTGCCATCTGTAGTTATTTGATACAACTTCTGAAAATATTTTTGAATTTGTCATGAAATTTATATTAGCACGACTTCCATTTTTTCAAATTAGTCAACTCCTTAATTCTTCAAAATTAGATTTTTGAATGCTGAGTCTTATTATTATTATTTTTGTGATATACAATATGTACTAGTTATTATAAAAATCATCGTCGATGACACAAAAAAAAGTTGTCTGATAATAAGAAGAATATTAAACGAAAAATAGAAAAACATAAGTATAGYAAATTGCCTATACAGAACTCCTTAAAAATATTTTACTGATAAGTACATAATTCTTATTATTATATAATATTTCCCTATTTTAAATCAAATAATATTGACAATAACCATTATTCTGTGGAAAATTTAAAATTAGTTCAATCACTCGTTAGAGCACATAGCAAAATATAAGATAAAAAGGTTACGATTTTTGACATCCAAATATAGACTATGCGTTAGATGCACATCATTTTTTTTTACTTTGCAAAAACCAACATTGTTATACTGTGTTTAACCTATATTGCATCTCAACTACTTAACCTAACAACCCCCTGGTTTTACCGCTGGCGTATTAAAATTAACCCAACCAAAACTGTAGCCAGATACACATACCACCATTACTGGCATTACTACTTGCCAGTCATACCGTTAACTGGTCCAAACAAGCTAAATACTTTGGCGTAACAATAGGGCGCAAACTCAACTTCGGACAGCACGTCCAAAACATTACTAAAAAGGCTACACGTACTTGTGGTACTCTACCCCATACTTAACAAAACACGTCCAATCCCATTAACTACCAAGCTTAACATACCTACTTAAACTATACGTCTCTCCCGTTCTTACATAATATGCTGGCCCCTCTTGGGCACCTTTTATCGGTCATTCACATTGGAGGCGTATCGAATCCGTTCAAAATATCGGTATACGTACAATAATGAGTATGCCCACTATCGTCAAAAATTTGGTTCTCCTTAAATCTGCTAACTTCAAATCTATCCAAACCTCTATTCAGTACCAATCCAAATAAATGTTTGGACAAAAGCTTCTTCTCAGGTCATGACCACATTCGACTTCTAGGTAAAATTCACACTCCTCCAACTACCAAAAAACAACCCAAACCCTACCCATTTACATGGATTAACCAATAAACCTTACCATCATCAAACTTCCACTCACTAGTATAGGCGCAGGTCTGGTATAGTTAACGGCATAGCCATCCCCCCAAAGCAAAGCAATAGAATTATGTTTGTAATATTTATTATTAGTTTATTACTACCAAATCTAGTAATTCCTGTGACATGGGTAGAGAAGAATTTCAATCACRTGTCCTGTAATATCATTCAACTAATTATTGTAGTAGACACCTACAACTACAGTACTACCTATGTAATAAATACCATTATGTTTTACTGATTTATTAATGTGCAGCATAAAATTAGTTGTGGATAGTAATCATAATTTCCACACATGCAAGGTCATGTCTGTTATTACACAAATTAAATAATGCACATGATGTTATTATCTATTGCAGATATTATATTATATYCATGCTTCATCAATAAATACAGGGTTGGACTAATATAAATGATTATAGATGAGAAATAAAATATTTCTTATTGA